GGAATGGAAGGGATGCAAATAGTCCAGAAAACACTTGTTTCACTTGGAAATGTGAACAGCAGCCAGGATTCCATCCCAGGATAGGTAAGTTAAGCAAACTACCTTCCTCTGCTGGTCTGGGCTCCTAGTTTTCCTCCCTCCTGAGCTTCCCTTGGTCAATGAAGTTGGCCTGACAGAGGAGGCCCAGGCCCGGGCATGCAAGCAGTGGGATGTGCTGCTTAAGAATTCCCAGGGATAACAATGGTGATGGGGAAAAAAAAAAGTACAAAATGATGTAAAAATAAACTAATATATATATATTAAAAAAAGAATTCCCAGGGAAATGTGACATCTCTGTAGTTGAGGAATTAGCCTGGTTTCCAAGAATAAACCATATTTTATAAAATTTGCCCATAAAGTAGAGGTCAACCAGGTCAACCAGGTTTAGTATCAGGTGTCCATTCTCTGGACTTTTCTCCATTCAGACCAATTCCCATCCAAATGAGACAGCATTGACCTTGGGAAAACAGCCAGTTCATGAGCCCAGAATTCTCCGTCCAGGGCCTTTTGTACTTAAGGTTTTGATTTATTGTCAAGACACCACAATACTGAAGCCAGTTACTTAAAAGTTCATATCAACTTTGGATGCTCCGCGGTTTTCCTTGTTTGTTAAGTTCTGGAGAATTATAGGAAACTGCTGAATTCTTAAAATAAGTATAAATTAGTCTACAGAGTCCAGCCATCGGATGCTTGTTCCCACTAAAGAGTTTTTTAACATGAGCTGCTTTTTTGGTCTTCTGGGACTTGGCCCAGGTTTTTTGACCATCCGTGGTGCCCCCTCTTAGGGAAGCCACCCAGCTGCCCCACTCATGTCATCTTTGGTTTCTAAGCCCACGTCCCACAAAGCCCAAAGGAAGAGAGGAGTGTTTTTACTACCAAAATATATTCGGTCAGACCGACTGGGCTCTTCTCTGTGTAAGGCTGGCAGTGCCCACTCTTTCAACTTGATACTCTGGCTCTTGCTTCTGCTTCCCTTTTCTCACCTCCTGTTCTTTCCGGATTCTTCTTTATCCAAGTCTTGTCTCAGTTTACTACCCCTGTCACAGGACTTTAGAACCAGCTCACACAAGGCTTGTTATTACTGAAAATATGTGAGTTTCTACATAACCATAGAAAAAAAAAGATGAAAATGTAGTCAAAGGATTACCCTTTTAAATCAGGGCCAAATTAGGTAATTAAGAAACACAATTTCCATGTTATATTGTTCCAAAGTACAGGCACACCTCATTTGATTGCGATTTGCTGTACTGCGCAAAAAAAAATATATATATATATATATATATATATATATATATATATATATATGCTGTGTGTTTTACACCGGCAAAAAGATTACAGCTCACAGCTTCAACGGTGGTTAACATTTTTTACAATAGGGTATTTTTAAAATTAAAGTATGCACAGTTTTCTTAGAATGGTATTATTGCACATTTACTGGATTGCAGTGTAGTATAAATGTAATTTTGATGTGCACCAAGAAACTAAAAAGTGTATGGACTAGCTGTGTTACAACATCCACGTTCTTACAGTACCTAGACCTGCAGTCTCAGAAGTGTGCCTATGTAGGAAAAGGCTCAAAGCTGCCTGCTCAGCTCATTAGACGAGCCACCCCTGAGGAGCCAGGGGTTCCCCAGCACAGTGTAGCTACAAAAGACCTCCCCTTTTCTCCTTGAGCTCGACCCCCAGCAGTTCAGACATCCACCAGAGATCAAGGCAAGTGGATGATGCAGCCCAGGTTTTCAGGGTTAAGAAGCTGGCAGGTTGGAAGGGTCCTGACTGCAGAGCAGTGCAGGATCGCTTTCTCAGTGGGCCTTCACGCACAGCTTGGCTGGGCTATTTTTCTCCCACTCTGCTGGAGACAGTGTGCAGAGCCGCAGAACTGGCTCAGAGGTCCATGCGACTGAAAGGAAGTTCTTCCCTTTGGCCTTTTTTAGAGAGGCCCAGGTGGTACCTTCCTTTTGTTTACAGGTCACACTCACCACTTCGTCAGGTTTCTCTGAAGGTCTAGAGCTAAAATAGGCCTCTGCTTTAGGTGAAGCCTGCCCCGCCCACTTGCCTTCCTAGGGTCCAGATGCAGAGCAGGTTAGGTTAGTAGGGCTTACCCTCCGCTCTGCCCACAGCAGGCAGTGGACTGTGGACATGCTCAAAAGTTTCCTCGTACAACTTTGTGGTTAAATCAGGAGATATGGAAGGACCTTCCCAGTGTCGGGTTCTTCCGCCTGTGCAGTGGGTGGGATGGGTACGGCAAAGGTAGCATTTGATTGGTTAATGAATATGGGAACGAGTGGCCGTGCCTTGTTTCTCAGAATGACTTGACACATTGTAAACCTGGACTTGGGTCACAGGAAATAGGGTGCATTAAGGCGAGCAGATGACTAACGTGGAAGTGACCCTGAGGGGTTAACTGCGTTTCCAAGAACCTGGGTGTCAGGTTAGGATTTAGCCCTTGGTATTGGAATCACCTCGCAGGACCAGTGTCTGCTCACTCAGAAGGTTTTTATTGAGCTCTCTGGAAACCTTTGTATTGCAAGCCACTGTGCTTATCTCCTGGGTTTGCCTTATGCGGGTGCGCTGGCTTACCTGAGTGAGCTGTTCTGTGTTGATCTCAGTAGCCACTGGAATGAGCTGGGCGTATGCACAAAGCAGCAGTGTGCGGGTCTGAAATCCCACTGGGCTTGTCGTCGGGCTGCATTTCAGTTCCTCTCTGCCAGTGGCTGCCGGTCACGCTCCCATTTTCCTGTGAGTGACGTGGACATGATGTATTTACATGCAGCCAGGCTCTGACACACACTCAGTGTGTGTCTGTCTGTAACCAGCATGTGTAAAGAGGCCTCCGAGGACATAAGGAAAGACGGGTGAGAGTTGGAAAACAGGCTAGAGTTTTGGAAAATTTGTGGTACCAGTTTGGTTCTTTACCCCAGCCCTCAATCTGAAAGTAGAATGTTCTGTTTTGTGTGATACAGGTTATGGTTTGGATCTGGGAACACTAAACAAAAAAATCCCATGTAAATTAATGGTAATAGCATTCTGAGACCCTCCCCCAAATAAACTACAATAGAACGTGGTACTTTAGATAGGATTTGAGGGGCTAATGGCTCTGAGCACAGTTCTGGCGCCGGGAGGGGAGTGTCTGTTACCGATGCCAGTCCCGCTCACACCCCTGGGCAGCAGATGGGCCAGGCACCGAGGCTCCGCATTCCCGGGGCCTGGACCTCCACGTGGCCCCTCCGGCAGCATGACGGCAGCATGTTCTGCTTGCCCGAGGCAGGGAAGGGAAGCAGCAGACTGCGCGCCCAGTTTCACCCCACCCCCATAGAGGTGCCGAGAGAGGCCAGGGGTGTGATGCAGGTGGACGCTGCCTTGGGGAGGAGTCCGGAGTGAAGGGCCAGTGCCCCGATGGTGAGCCAGGCACTGGTTTCTCTGACCACAGGGACTGGCTCGCGTCATTAGGACGTCTCAAGTGGATCAGGATTGAGACGTGGTCCAGAAGCCCCAGTGGTGTCTGAGTGCCACCTTTTCTTGATTTCAGCTCGCTTCATCTTAGGCAGGTTCTTTTCTTGTGCCTTCACCAGGGTCCAGGCTTCTGGACTCCTTAGAGCTTAACGTCAGAGAGCCAAACAGCAAACTTCCTGACTTCCTTGTAAAAACTCTGCTTTGCCTCAGAGGACTATGCATCTTCATCCAGATCAGTCGCTGGGTCTGGGGATTCGAAACAGGTGTCAGCCCTCCAGCACTTGGGCCAAAGGTTTATTAGCAAGAAACCCACGAGGGCTGGGTCCACAGTTGGATGCTGCACCAAGTCTTAAAAATGAGTAGTGATATATGCTACATAATGGAAATATGAGTTTGTTTCCCACCTACTTATTTATTACTGAGCATTTACTACTTTGTAAATGGGGAAGATGATCAAACGAACTTTATAAGTTATAACTAAACCAAAAAAATGAGACAAGCGGAAAATAAGCGTCAGAAGCTACAGCTTCTTACTGCTCCTAGACATTAACCCCTAATAGGACACCCAGAAAAACCTTCAGTTGGGGGTGGAGGGAGGGATCTGTCACTATAAGGAAGCAGAAAGTGAGGTGGGGTTTCTGAGGGACCCTGATTTAAAACAAACTCCAGGTGCACTCAGCAAAGCCTCTGTGTGGTTGCTGAGCCCCAGGGGTGCGGAGCCTGGCCGTCGCTGGGGTTCCCTGGCTCACTTTGTCCAGCGTCAGGGGGACACAGAACACTGAGAGGTGAGGCGTGTTAGGAGGCGCGGGGCTCCGCTCCATCCAAGACCGCCTGCCCGTCCCGCATCCGCCGGCCTTCAGGACACTGTTGTAGCGGCGCCCCCAGGACTCACAGCCACTGCTGAATCGACAGCTCGACACTCACTCTCCACGGCTAGTGGCCTTCGTCCCTCTGTGCGCTCATCCATCTTCCTTCTAGTTTAAAGTGACCTCCAAGGCTTGCCTCGAACCCAAAGATTACAAAATTGCTTCCTGGAAAGGCAGTGCCCCTGATACCCAGGAGGTTTCCTTATCGCTGAGACTTTCCCAGGATGGGGTCGGCCAGCATATAAACATTTGGGTTTGAATTTTCCTCATTTCCATCGCCTTATAGGCCCCACGCCTCCCAACCAGTCTTGATCAAACTGGGATATCCGAGCAGGCCTTGTGTTGGGCCTCCCCCAAGCCTGGTCACTGTTCCCACAATTAAGAAAACAAACCCAACCTTCCAGAGTCTGGCAGCGGGGTCCCTGTGCCCGTTGAGGCAGCCACATCATGTTTAGACAATCTGGCCTTCACGAGTCCTCCTGTCTCCCACGCCCAGGATAAACTCAAGGTTTCGGGAAATCTAGCAAGATGCCACAGTGAGGGTAGACAGTGTGTTAGGGTTTGCTGTGTGGGTTTGGGTTTTGATGTGTATGTGTTTTTTGTTTGTTTTTAATTAATGCTTGGTTGCCTCCCTCTAAACAGACAGCCACAGACAGTTCTTCTAATTCCTCTCAGAAGAAAGAACAACCAACTCGGACAATCTCTTCTCCCACATCCTGTGAGCACCGGAGGATTTATACCCTGGGCCACCTCCATGACTCATACCCCGCAGACCACTATCACCTCGAACAGGTGAGTACAGATGCATTGCTCTGGGGTTGTCCACGTGACTAGCTCCTGATTCTGGAACAGCGACCATCCGCTCTCTCCTGTTGAGCTAACTGCCCTGAGCCCAGCCCCTGAGCGCTCCTACAGTATACCCCCACCCAGTGCTAGAGGCGGTGGTGACAGCTCATCCTTCCTCGGAGTTTTCTGCCAGATACCTTACTGAACCTTTATGTGCTTTACCTCACAAATTACCCCCATAATGCAGCTCCTCAGCACCCCCAGAGTTCTTGGTGGAACAAGGTTCAGATCCAAGGCTATGCTTCCCTGGTGCCTGCTCCCCTGCATTCCCCTATCCAGAGGGCCCCCCGGCTTTGTGAAAGCAGAGCCAGGATTGGGGCTGAGGAATGCTGCGCACTTGGCTCTAGCCCCCTGGCGTCACGGGCTTCGGGCCCAGGCTTGCTCAGGGGAGATGGAACTAAGACTGGAATTCAGTAATTCAACAAATATTTACTGAGTAGCGGCTGTTTTGGGGAGCAGGTTCCCAAATCGCGGGGAGTGGACTGATGCCCGCAGGGGACTGTGGCTACCAGCCTGCTGTGTAAGAAGAAATAGGGAGTGCAGGGCAGTGAGGTTTTTTTGTTTGTTTGTTTGTTTGTTTTTAAATAAAGCTGCATTTCTCTAACTCTAAACATTTCATTGTATGCTTTCTAATATTTTGGCACTTATGGTAGCAATAGATGGAACTTGACTTTTTTGACACTCGTTACTTTTGCAATTTAGCAAAGTCTATGTCAACTCCCAAGATTTTGAAATCCTGTAAGACTTAACTTTCCGAAGCCCAAGAAACTGATGTCAGAAATTGGACAAGAATGAGGGTAAAAAGTGGATGAGACGTGGCCCTGCCCCTGGGGAGCTCGTGGTCGGGTTGGAAGTGATGGGTAAACCTAATTGTGTAATAAATTCTGGAGTGATATTATAATGACAATGGCCACAGGCATCAAGCACATCCTTGAGGGGGCTCTGGGCTGACAGGCAAAGCTTCTTTTCACTCACAGCTGTGCAGTTTGGTAGAGAAACTGAATCTGGGCTTAGCAGCTTGCTAGTAAATGTTACAGTCTGAATGTGACCCCAGTGCGTTCACTCAGAGCATGTTCCTGACCCTTGGCAAAAAGCCATTCTGCCCAGGGCACTTCAGAGCTGGACAGTCACTTTGTGACAACTGAGGTACCCTGTGCAAGGCAGGCTTACCCAGGTCTACCCACCGCCATTCATTTGGCACTTGCCAGTCAGGACAGGATGTTGCAGATTCTAGCAGGACTGTCTGCAGAGACTGCTCCGGCGCCACGGAAGCGTGCAGGTGCCACCTGAAGGCTAGAGGGTGTGACTGAATCCAGCCTGCCTGGGCTCAGATTCCAGCTCTGCGATCACTGTCTGGGAGACCCCAGCAGCACCTGACCAGAGCAGCCGGCTTGCAAGTGTGCATTTTCACTCTTCTTGAGCCCAACAACTTCACTTCCCAGCCAGCTGACAAAGTATTTGTGAGCCCTATCGTTCCAATCCCATTGCTTTTTTAGACATGACCCGCACTGAGCCGGTATACACAAATACACAGGTAATGAAAAGCACTTGCCCTTACAATAGCACACTCCAGTGTTCCTATATTTCATTGCAGAAAAAATGGTTTTACAGAAGATGTCCTGCACAACAGCAGCCATTGAAAGTGCTCTCTGCTGTTAGCAATCAGAATAGTGGTTAGGAGGTAACTGATGAAGGGAGGTGTGAGCCTCTCCCCTTCTGCTTGCTGGTCTGTTGTGTTCAGTCTGAAAATTTCAAGTGTATTCTTAAAATGTACACACCATTCCTGCGTGTGTGGGTGGACAAAAGGGGAAATGTTGACCTGCACGGGTTAAATTGATTTCTTGATGCCAGGAACTGATGGAAACGCCTAATTTGGATCCCTCAATCTTTCAAAACCGCTTCCATCAAGGTGGAAGTACACGTTAGGGTTTGTTGTTTGTTTGGTTGTTTTTTTTTGTTTGGTTGTTTGTTTTTGCCATCACTATAAAATGTCTCCTTTTTCCCGGGTAGCCAATGCCAAGGCCCTACCGGCAGGTGAGCTTCCCCGACGACGACGAGGAGATCGTGCGCATCAACCCCCGAGAGAAGATCTGGATGACGGGCTATGAGGATTACCGGCACGCGCCGGTGCGGACCAAGTACCTGGACAGCTCGGAGGACGCGGACTCCTACGTGCGCTTCGCCAAGGGCGAGGTCCCCAAGCACGACTACAACTACCCATACGTGGACTCCTCGGACTTCGGCCTGGGCGAGGACCCCAAAGGCCGGGGGAGTGGCGTGATCAAGACGCAGCCGCCGCGGGGCAAGCCCCGGCCGCGGAAGGAGGACCGCGAGCGCTCCCAGTGCGAGTACTGCAGGGACATGTTCAACCACGAGGAGAACCGCAGGGGCCACTGCCAGGACGCACCCGACTCGGTGAGAACTTGCATCCGCCGGGTGAGCTGCATGTGGTGTGCGGACAGTATGCTCTATCACTGTATGTCGGACCCCGAGGGAGACTACACAGACCCGTGCTCGTGCGATACTAGCGACGAGAAGTTTTGCCTCCGGTGGATGGCTCTTATTGCCTTGTCTTTCTTGGCCCCCTGTATGTGCTGTTATCTGCCCCTGCGGGCCTGCTACAACTGTGGGGTGATGTGCAGGTGCTGCGGGGGGAAGCACAAAGCCGCGGTATGACTCAGCTCCCCTCCCGTCGTCGGGGGAACCGTCTCCTCCGAACCCCGTCTGCCCAGCCCTGCCCACCCGGGGAGCAAGGAGACCAAGAGGCCTCCCGGGACCTTTGGGCACCTTTCGGCCTGGGGAACCCGCCTGGTGGACTCTGCATCCCCCCCAGCCACCCGTGTACTCACGCCGTGTTCTGAGGAAAGGAACCCTGCATAGACTCGCCTGTACAATTAACAATCTGTAATCAAGCTAACGGTCCTATACACGTTGTTGACTTCCTGTCTCTCCTCCCCACCTCTTCTAGTTCAAAGGTGCCTGCAGTAGAACTGCTGATTTTTGGTGGGTTTTGTAGTTGGTTTTTCCAAGAGCATGGAAGACGGTCTTTCCCTTGGGTTCAGATTGCCGGTTGCCAGAGTTCCTGCAGACATGTGCTGTCAGCTGATGAAACCCTACCAGAAGTATTTTAACCTGCAGTCAGTTATTATGTATCGAGATGAGCTAGTTAACTTCTACCACAAAACAAGATCGCTTGAACTTTTATAAAGCCAAATTTCCCATGTACGCTGCAGTTTCTATCTTGAATCCATCATCATTTTCTTGCGAACCGCCTCCATCTGTCAGTTATTCACTGATAGAAAACATTCACCCAGAACATGAGAATTTAGCCTTAATTTCAGATTAACGCGAGAATCAGGAAAATTCCTTAAACTGTATTGCATCCTCTTGGACCAGGGTTAGAAAGGGAATTTCAGGTTTTTCTGATCCTCCCCAGTTACCCCTAAAGTAGAACTTACCAAAATTGTGTGCCTGCCACACAGTTTTAACAATATTAGAAGAAAATGCTAATGAAGTTACACTCATTGTTTGGCAAACCAAATAGTCTAGTCAACAAATTAGTGTTCTCCTAGCCAAGGTCCATTAAGGAACACTAAGGTTGTGGTATCAAACTGCAAGATCTTCACACACACACACACACACACACACAACTACACACACACAGGCTATTTTCTACTGACTGCAAGATCTTCTCACACACACACAGACAACAACTACACACACACAGGCTATTTTCTACTAGCCGGGGGTGGGGAAAGGGATTCTAAATGTCATATATTTGAACAGTGGTGGGTTGCGTTTTTGTTTGTGGGCTCATGTTTTTGTTTTCACTTTGGAGTCAATTTCACATCACCAAATTCTTCATTTATACTTGGGGAAAAAACAAGGCCATATATAAAAACCCTTTCAATGCCTAAGTGTCTTTTTCCTGCAACGCCGAACCCAGACTTGCCACTTTGGGTGCAGAGGGTTAGTTCAGCAGGCTGGGTCAGCCTGTCGCCTTGCCATGTAGGAAGCTTTTAATAAGCTGGAAAAGAGTATTTTTCTAATATATTGCAAGGAATAGCCAAACCTTACTACAGAAAGAAAAAAAGTGATTATCTGTACCTAGCATAGTACAATCAGAACGCCATCGAAACCACAGGGGACAGGCTTGCCCATGCTGGCTGTTCTCCCCACCTTGATTTTCCAGTGGTAACTGTCAGCCAAGGGCCTGGCCTACTCCCTTGCTCCCCACTCCCTCACCCCTTCTCACAGGACATCAGTCTTCAAGGAAACGACTTTCCAGCCTGCCAATTGTATTGGGAAAGGACCAGCCACGCTTAGTTTATTGGGAATGTTTTCAGCTCAGCTGAAACATTTCAGCCTGTCAATTTTGTCAGTCAGATCAGTGGTGTAAATACACAGAATGCTTAAGAGTTAGTTGTTAGATGTTTTCATTTGTGGAGTGACTGGTTTGGACCTTCCAGTTTGGGAAAGGAGCAGAGAGCTGTCAAGCTGGTGATGGAAGAGAAAAGAAACACTTCCTGCCTGGAAAACATCTAGAAAACCTTCAGCCAGCCTCCAGTCATTGTCAAGAGATCACCATTCCTCCTCTCCCCCTCACCCCTGAGGTATTTCCTCAGGGTCTTTCTCAAGGTCTCCTCTCTACAAAGCACAACACTAATGTATGTTTTATTAGACCTCAGTTCAAGTGCCCCTATTTATTTCAGTAGCAGTTACACACAGCCCCGCAACTGGGTTTTGTCGCCTCTCTAGTCTTCTGTTGGCTTCTATTTTCCACTACCCCTTGTCTTTTCTCTCCCCTTTGAAGAGTTATGCTAGTGAATCTTAACTCTGAGGATACTTTTTTGGTTTGTGAAGGTGAAGGTGGCGGTTAAGGGCACAAGGACAGCCCCGGGGACATTCGTGTAAATACGTCTCTCCTAATCACCACACTGCAGCTAAACAGTGTGTAGTGTTTTCCCAGTCAGCTTTGCCATACTGACGTCAATCATTTGAGAGAAATTATTCAGATTTTATTTTTGTATCTGTGGTAACAAAACATTAACCAAAAGATCTGTTGGGAAACTTCCCCTGAACCCCCACCCCCCCCCCCCAGCTATTTGCTCACATTAACAAATTAAAGTGCCTGAAGCATAATTCATTCTTTACCTGTATACTAAAGACCCTGTTGTATTGATTTTTTATAAGCCTTTTTACCTCCGTGTAAAAATATATATATACAAGTGTATGATGTACATTTTAGTTCTTAACTTTTTTTTATGGTTTCTAATATGTATGACCAATGTAGCCATTGCTTTAAAATGTACTGTGTAAATATAAACACATCCTATCAGGTCACTGACTCTGGGTGTTTGTCTGACTCTGGGGTGGCCGTCGCACCTGGGCAGGCATCGGCGTTCTCGCACACAGGGTGGGAAGGGGTTTCCTTTGGAGAAGGGTGTGTGGACACCAGACTTTTTGTGAGGCCTCCCCGCCTATGGTTATGTCATATTCCCCAGGGGAGACTGCAGCTCCTTGGGCTGAGATGCCTCAAGTAAAAGGAATGCTGTATGTCACCACCCGGGGAACACCCCCTCTTCCTAATCCTGGCTTCCCCCACGTGTGCTCCTCAGAGGGAACAGCTGTACTTCCTCTGAGTTGTTTTCCTCTGATTCCTGTTGAACCCGTATGTGTGTGCGTGTGTGTGTAGTTGAGAAGATAGTTTTTCACAGAAAACAAATGTTCAAGCTGCACAACCCCTGGACTCCTTGGAAAGGTCCTGCTTTCACTGACACTTGGGCCCTTCCAAATGGGCTCTTTGGATGCTCAAAAGTTAGAATAACAATTCCCTGAAGGAGAGAGAGTGAGGGGTCTTACAAGGGGCACAAAGGAAAGTTTCAGCTCCTTCTCCAGAGAATAGAGTAGGGGCCTTTAAGAGATGCACAGTAAGGGCCTTTCCATCATTGTTTTTAACTCTGCCTGAAAAAGGGTAACTTTTCTAAGCCACTGGCAAAGGTGAAGAGCTACAGGACAAGCTGAAATTAGAAAGTGAATGGACAGAAAGGAGTCTTGAAGATTGGTAATGAAGAGATGAAAGAAGTTAATGAAAACAGCTCCATTAACATAGTAAATGGTATACACCAGATTACTGTGAAGACACAACCTGGAGGAAGTAAAAATACTCATTGTAAAACATTTTTTCAGAAAGTTTGATGGTAAAGGAATTATAGGGTTTCTCTGAAGTAGAACTGGTGAATTTTTAAAAAGTATCTGCCAAGATAATATCTGTATATGTGTTGTTATGACAATTAATCCTGAATAAACTTGTGATTTTAAGAAGCAAGATAACTTCGAAGGTACCTCCAGAGCTGCAATAGGGAAGGAATCCTAAAATTATACTTGACCTGCCTGGCCCTATTCAAGTCACGTCCTTATCATCCCTGTCAACAGCTGTGGAACTGAAGCTTAGAAAGGGTAAGGTATATGTAACTACAGTCCTGTGAGGCAAGTGCCACGCAGGCCAAACCTGAGCCCAGGTGACAGCCAACCCAGGTCCTGACCAAGCTGGGAAAGTGGACACCAGTCAAGAGCCACCTTATTCTCTCAAGCTGCTCCCAAATAGCTGTTTTTCAGTGTCCTATGTGTTCAGCCAGGAGCTTGGCACATGATGTACATCAACTCTTAACCCTCCACAAAAGAGAGTGTTCATTTCCACTTTACAAATAAGGAAACGACTATGGAGACATGAATTCCATCTTGGTCAGTCTCAGCCATTACTAGCGTCACCATTACCCTTTAGGCAAATGATTTTGCCTTTCTGAGTCTCAGTTCCTCAAGTATAAGGAATAACACCCCCAGCATGGCATGAAAGTTAAATATTCAGGTGTACTTACAGTGCCACATGCAGGAGGTACTTCTCAGTGCTTCCTGAGAAAAACACAAGGACTGCAAAGTCTTCAACCTCTGAAGCACGGGAGGGCTAAAGCCATTGTGGATATTTTGTGAGTATCTAGATCTACAACCTCTATGTTGAGATTTTTTTTTTCTTAATCTCCCTGCAATTCTAAATTAAGTTTTTGGTTTTTTGCTGGTCCTCCCAGATACACTGACAGCCCATGTGATAGCTACTGAAGTGTACTCAGCTGGCTGGATTCTTCAAGAACCAGTGCAGGCATTCTGGAGAAGATTGGTGTCCTCCATCAGTTCTGCTGCCAGGACCGGGTCTGGCTTAGCATATACGTGCCCAGAGTTGGAGAACACTGCTGCAGAGTATCGCCTTCGTGGGCCTCTGTTCCTAATGTTCTCCCATGCTGGTTACTAATGGTAAGTATCCCCTCCCCACCCCCAAAATTGGGACATTCTCCCAGGGGAAAAAGTGTTATAGGAAAAGTTCTGCTGTACAGGTGTTTTCAGAAGGTTATCAAAACATGACTTTGAGCAGGCAGGCAGAGGCCTGTCCATGTGAATGGAGAACCAGAATATGAAAAGTATGTCTGTTGCTTACTGGCATCCTTACTGCAATCCCGTTGGGCTTTCTGACTTGGGAAGGGAGATGGTAGAAACTTTACCCTATGTTCAAGTCTAAACCAAATAGATGGATGAAGGGAGATGACCCTGTTCACATCTTGTGTGACTAATAATGGTTGTGACCTTGTGCAGCAGGGCCTGCCCGTCTCAGCTAGAGCAGCCTGACCCCACCTAAAGCCGGAATGGGGAAGAGGGAGAGTAAGTCAAAGGAGGGAGAAGTTGGAATTACTCTCCCAACTTACATCTGTTTTTGATAGCACATTTTATATCTTTAGCATAATTGTAGTTAGTTTTACTACTACTAACTGCTATACTAGCTTTATAAGTGGTTAATCCACTATCTTTACTATATATTTAACCTGTACCAGTGAGATAGTATTACTAACTTGCATGCTTTCTTTTCAGCTTAAAGAAGTACCTTTTAAAACCATTTTGGCGGCCCTCCCTGGTGGCACAGCGGGTTAAAGCACTGCACTAAGAAGCTTAAGCCATTTCCACATGAGTTCGATTCCCGCCTGCCCCGGAGGAGAC